TGTTTATGTAGCGCTGCGCTCGAGCAATAGGCTATACACGAGCCGTCCATCGCGTACGCCACGCGCAATGATAAAATCTCTCGGAGCAGCCATATATACGTATACGTTCGATAGTTCGCTTCCTCAAAAGCCTAAAGATGTTTATCTCCTTTAGTCTGAGTCTGCTGCACTTGTATACTATGTGTAAAAGAGAGAGAGAGAGAGAGAGAGAATAAAAAAACGCATCGCGCGTACTAGCTGCGCAAAAGATACCCAGAAGATACGTACGTCGTACTTACGTGTATAAGTGTTGTGTGATCGTGTAGAGCTGAGAGTCGCCTCTTAATTACATAGTCGCGTATTACATTGTAAACGGCGCGAGAGCATACACATAGCCATAGCCTCGATAGCCCGTAGTGCTGCGCGCGCTCGAGGGCTTCTCTCGTTGCGATCTGCCGCTACGCTATACCTATATGCTACGCGTGTGTCTATGTGCACCTACGTTTGCACCTTCGGGCTAGACAGCTTAATTAAATGCTTAATTATAGAATGGGAGGACGAGCCAAGTCTATACGTCCAGCGGTCGAGGGAGCTGCTGATTAAGCTCGCCGAGGTTGCGCGTCCTCCTACGCGTGTCATTGTTTGACGCTAATCTCACCGATTCCCATTCAGATTACAGCTCGAATGTGTCTCATTTTTTTCCAGCTCATAATTTAATGCACAAAACAAACATTTCGAGCCTAAGGGATGTTTCAAGAATCTTTGATGCAAAGAGAAAAAGTTGTTGCCGCCGCTGGCATATATACATTACACGCGATCGCGATAGCCATTAACATGGAAAAGCTACGAGTCGCTGCTCGTCGATCGAACCTGTTTTCTTATCGAAATAGAATGGAAGCTACATCATTGTTTATGCGAGCTGATACAGCTACTCGATCGTTGAAATAATTAACGAAGGTGTCTTCGATAACGTGTCTGGGCCAACTAATTGACAAATCCAACTAACTTCGCAGTCTTAAAAATATATCGCTCTGTTACATATTTGCTATACTTTACGCTGTTGTAGATCTGCAATCGCGAAACGTCGTCCTGCCTGCTGGTCTCAATTAAAACTAAGAGCCCCGGGGAAGGGGATGAAATTTTTCATTATGCGATCGTTCAACTGTTTACATGCATCGACTGGCGAGTTTCGAACTACAAATTAAAAATAAAGTTTTGTACGTTTGACGAATCAGTTTTCTCGATTAACGACAATCGATTCATTTTGCGAGTATATTAAAGTCCGTCCGACGTACAGATAATCGATCGATCTCGGTCAAGCCCTTAGACTTTCCCACGCATACGTGCAAATGCTATAGGTATACAGAGGAACTAGCCGATCCCCTGCACGCGCGACGAAAAATCCCGTCGAACTGCGTCAAGCCACGTCGTCGTCCTCTCTTTCTCTCTCGATGTTTCGTATAGATCGGACTCGCACATCGCAAAAAGCATTTCCCGTCATCAGTTATATAGTAAAGCATAGGACGCGCGGCACTTTCGACTCGTTTGCCAACAAGTCGCTTCTGTGGATGCACACGCGCGCAGACATTCGAGTAGTGTCAAGAAGTGTATAGGCTCTGCATCGGTAGAAGTAGAAGTAGAAGTAGAAGCAGAAGCAGCGGCAGTGGCAGTGGCAGTGGCAGTGGCAGCGGCAGCAGCAGAGTCAGGATGCCCTAAAAGGCGCATAGACGACGACGACACGAGGAATGTCTCGCGCGCGCTCCGCAGACGCAACATTGTTGCGAGTCTAGCACGTTTGATTATTCCAACTGTAACGCATAAGGAGCAGCTTGCCGCTGCTGATGCTGCTGCTTCTGCTTCTGCTGCTGGGTATATACGTAATGGCAAAAAACACTTATACTCCTTTACACAACGAGTCTTGCGCTCTGAGCGTATAAGCGCGCGACATCGCATGCATATATATTCGCTCGAGCTCTGCGACTCCTTTGTGCCCGGCTCGAGCTCTGACAGATCGCTATATGAATCGAGCAGCCGAGCTGATGAAAAAAAGTCAGCTGCGATCCTGACAGCACGCAGGGATTCGATGTGTATATTGTACATTATAAAAAGATGAGATTTTACAGCTACCGACCGTTAAAAGCTTGAGACTGAATCGAGAGAGAGAGAGAGAGAGGAAGAAAAAGAGCCGAACGAGATAACGAATTGTATAATACGTTCTAAACGTGGCCTCGTCGGAGAAGAACTTGGCCGCCACCGCCGCCGCGAGCTCCTCGACGAGCTGCAATTATCGGAATTTCCGTGCGATTAAGCATTTAGAGAGAAATATTGATTAAAGAATGAAAGCGCATAGTGTGAGAGGGAAGAGGGAATGTGTATTTCCACTGGGGAATTGGCGTATCTTCGGACCAGAGCACGAACATAGTTTTGGAATGTTGCTACTGCGGGAGAGAGAAAGAGAGAGAAGGAGAGAGAGAGAGAGAGAGAGAGAGAGAGAAGAGCAATGCTGCCTTGAGGGGGTCAGCCCAGCCAACTATTCTGCGATCTCGCAAGTATTTGGATTGCAAGTTATCTTCTTGGATTTTTCAACTCTCTGCGATGGTATAATATATGTAGTAGCAGTAGTAGTATATTGAACTAGGTCCGAGTGCTCTGTGCCGTTATTGCATTTCCAAAATCAGAATCGACGCGCTCCGCGAGGTTGGCGCGAGCGTAAAAAAAAAGCCCCGGCAGAATACCGTAACTAATTACGACAATACGCGATCACGAATTAACAGTAATAACGTATCCTTAAACAAGCTCCGAGCTGTGCGACTTTATAAACTGCTGCTGCTGCTGCTGCTGCTGCGCGCGTACATAAAAGTGTCGACTCGCCAACTCTTCATCTCCGAGAAATGCATGCGCGCGTACCCGAGTGAGCGAGAGAACGAGGCAACGAGTTAGCGCGCGCCTATGTGCACTTGCCAGAGTCACGAGTGTGTCGCTCGCGCCTGCCACGAGAGAGGAAGCACATCCGATGGTCAATTCGGTAAATGTGTCGAAGCGTCGTCAGCCGCCGCTACGTGTACGCGATCGCGAGGCAAGGCGCACGGCGGCGGCGGCCTCAGACCTCGCGATGGTGTGGTCGTTGCCCTCGCATATGTGTGTGTGTGTGTACGTTGTACAGCGTATGCACTATATCCTGCAGCGCTCGATGAGCTCCACTACCTCTGTGTATAAAACTTATCCTGTATGATTGCATGCCCCGAGCATTGGTAGCATCTATATCTTGCCTTTTTTTTTCTTATACATTTATACGCGCTTATGCCGCAAGCACACGAACGCACATACACTTGGCACACGAGTCGTAATTTACGCCGCTGCTGCATGCAATCTTTCGGAAAATTTCATCTGCCCTTATCACTTTGGGGACTGCAGCTGATTTTTTCATCTCGTAGCTATAGCAAAGCACTCGAGTATGTAAATGTCAAGGACGTGAGCTGAATCGACTACCGAGTACCAGCGAGAGGAACCAGCGCCTCACCAACCATGCCACTCTTTTATAGTGCCGCGATATAAACTGACTCTCGAATACACTCGAAGAAATTTATATTCTTATCGTTTTCCATACTTTTCGATCAACAAATTTCTAATTGAATACCGCAAGTTTCGACGACGAGAACAATATCACGGCATAATTACGAAAGTATTTTACATGCGTCGAAAAATGAAGGCGATCGCACAATAATGAAATGTCACATCTTATGGATACTGTTAGCTCTGTACGTAAACAAGCTATTTCAAGAGGTCGATGACCCACTTAAATTAAAGAAATATTTTGATTTCGTGCTCGCAATTTGTAAAAATGGATCGTTCTAAGAACTTTTTTCAAATTCGAGGTAGCCAACTTGGAACATGGTTAACTGTTGGACATCTTAGGCGCAGAGCAGAAGATCTATATTTTCACTTGCACATTTTTGTAAACACTCGATAACCTTTGATGTACCGCCAACAATCCATTCGTAGCGCGTCGAGAAGCTCACGTGCATTCATCCAGATCGTTGTAAATTTCAATAGCCTCTAAAGCTACAGCTAATCATCGTAGTCAAAAAGATAATCGAAAAACGACTGGGGATCGCGTACCATCCGTCGTCATAACTATCATTATCATCATCATCGTCATCATCATAATGATCATCATCGTCATTATCGTTGCGATAACTCTCGTCAGATTGCAAGAGCTGCAGCGCAGGGATCAGCTCTTCTTTGGCATGTGTGTGTGTGTGTGTGTACTTGTGGTGCATGTACGTCTAGCCGATATTGGTAGGAGAGAAAAGTGTTGAAGGAAGGAGAGGAGGAAGCAAATGAAGGCACCTAGTTCGCGAGCACGTATGTATGTGTGTGTATGCTGTATAGCCCAAGAGAGTATGTGAGTATGTGCACATGCCACCGCGGGGCACCTGTCTCGTATTCCCTCTCTCTCTCTCTCTCTCTCTCTCTGTCAGGAGAATCTCAAGAGGGACTCTCTGTCGGTAGGTGGGGGCACCGGCCCCGGTGCGCATAAGGCCCCTAACTGGACGAGGTTATCAGTAGACACAACATCTTGCTCGCGCGAACATCGCTTTCTCGCACTCGCGCGAAACGCGCAAAATTCTCTCCTCTTTCAAATCGATCATTTTGTGTGCGTCGTTTTTTGTATCTTTTGTTCTACCGAAGCGTCAAGAAATATATAGAAATAGATTAGACGTGCGATCCTGGGCACTGGTGCATTTTTCAGTGTATAGTTGAAAAAAGATAAAAAAAATAAAAGGAAAAAAGTGTTTTGAAAAAGTTCCAGCTGTATACTTGCAATACAGAGAGGCTGCGCGCAGTGTGAATTACAGAAGAAAAAGAGAAGATCGAGTGATTTATATAATAAATATATTGCAGCAGAGAGAGAAGCAAAAGAATAAAAAAAGAGCAGCAGCAGCAGAGTCGGAAGCAGGGGGACGCGCGCAGACAGTTTGCAAGGCCTGCCACTGACGGCCGGCCGGGATGCAGCACGAGGGGTCTGCTGGCTTCAGATAACGCGAGAGGCAGGCGTGCGCGCCAGATCGCCAGGTAATATGCACACACACACACACACACATACTCATTTATACTCTCCACTGTGGCGCTTTTTTGTCCTGGAAATAGCTTTTCCTTTTTAATTTATATAATAAAACGTAGGAGCGAGGCATGTTATAATTTAGCCTGGGCTTGGTTATCTCTCGCACAAAGCACGAGGCGTACGAGGCACGAGGCACGAAGCGTATACGCGTAGCTGATATAACGTACGGCTATATCACGGCAGCGAAAAATCAATTTTCGCGAGTCACTTTTCCTCCTCGGTCCCAATTAACGCATATCATGCAGCGCATCTGCAGCGAAGAAAGAGAAAAAAGCTACCATGTCACGGACGCGCGCAAAGTTTATACATTATATACGTACGAAAATATATTAAGAGGGTACCGCTCGAGACGTCAGACGCGGCAGTAGCAGTGCCGCGCGAGCTTTACACAAATCTAAGGCAATATTTATACATCGATACGTCGGAGCTCGTTGGCTCGCGCGCAGCTGGCAAATTTCTCATGGCGTCCCGCCGAAACGATGCGCTCGTCGATCGCGTGCGAAAAAAGATTTTTATTAACGATAAAGCAGTCGTGCTGCCAGCCGGGTCTGCGCTGCGCTGCACTGCGTAGCCTGCACAGCACCGCCCGAGGTGAGATAAACAAGGCCGAGCTGGAAAATGCATCTCTAATGAAATTCCACACGGCTGCCGCCGACAAAACAATAACGTGCATCACGCATGTCGAGAACGAGAGACAGAGGAACAGTGAGAGAAATAGAGAAAGAGAGAGAGAGAGAGAAACACAATCCGCATGGAATTTATATCACGCGTACGTGTATATATTGTACATGCAGAGGCAAACGAATCGTCGTCATTTCAGCGCCTTCGGCCTACGCTTCCCGTCGAGCTACTCGATCAGCTGATCCAAATCTTCCTTGGCGCACTCGCGTGGCGAATAAGCGCGTGGGTGCACGCACCGCAGCTCTACCCGCTCGAGTCTTACTACGTAAGTATGTGTGCGAGTGCGTATATAAGCATCAAAAGCACGTGGGAACTTCTCATTATAAAGCTCTCTCCCTCTCTCTTGCTCTATTTTGCCGTTTACAAATAGCTATCACGCTGCTGGCTCGGAAAAGCGAGAGCAGCCGAGGAATTTCGTTTATGCTGCGGGCTTAAAGTTTAATTATACGCTGCAGTTCTCGATGCGCGCAATTTGTCGATATACAGAAGAGGCGACAAAAATCCGTCCCATTTTTTTTACCTTTTTTTTTACCTGCCGTCTGTAACGTGAGTTTTGACACGCGCGTCGAGTCTATATATAGTTTCGGAAAAACGATGTTATCAACGATTTCAATCACTCCGAGCGCGCCTCTGTGCTCTGCACGATTTTCGAGCCAGCGAGCCCAAGCAAAACTAAGCTGCGCACTCGTGATCGATGTGTGAAAGTCTCCTACCTTATGACGCTTTGTATTCGAATAAATTTATAGGTCGATATGTTCCGCTGCAGCCCGTGTACGAGCTACGACGTATACGTGTTTGTCTCGTTCTCATATACGTAGATATGTATTATACGTATAGGAAAGCCTTGTTTTTTCCTTCCTCTGTTTTTTTTCATACAGTGCAGTGCGAGTCCATAAGTTTCTCACTCGCACCCGAGACAGAAAGAGACAATAGGCATAGCAGCGCCAAGCTTGAGAATGGATATAGCGAATAAAATTTTCAGCAAGTAATGCATCGCGATTATAATAAGACACGGCCACGCGAGTCGCTGGGGAGGGAAAGAAGGAGAGAGAGAAAGAAACTCGCCTATACTCGCGTATGTATGGTAAATTACTCTTTAAGCTCACGTGTACGTCAGGATAATAGTCCTTTGGACACGTAATTAGTGGTTTCTTGGAACACCCGCAGCAAAGAACGGAAGTACACTTATGAAATTAGAGAGGGATATTTAGCTGAAATTATGCTTATTATACGAGGCGATCGATGACTTGTGCTTGTGCTCCATTTCATCGACTGTCGGCCGATCTACAAAGTTTTTCAATTTCTAATCCAGTTTGATAAATTCCCGCACGTAATCTGGATATACTTTCTCAAAAATAAAAAACGGTATCCAAAAAATCGTAAGAATGCTTTAATGGCCGATAGATATTCGTGTATAATTTTAAAACCGGTTGCCAGTGTACCTGATTCATCAAAAAATCAGGGCAAATAGAAAAAAGTCAGCTGCTCGGATAATCCTAATTAATCGAAGTGATAAACGAATTGATTCGAACGGACGGTAATCAAAACGAGCTCGTCGTCCTGGAAGTTGTCGCCTCGCGAGCGTGTGCGGCTATCGCATGGACGTATACGTTTACCCACATCTGTGCGCGTCGTGAGCATCGTATAAGATCAGGCCATGGCCTGAGGTTCATCTTTTTCTCATCATCAGCAGGAGCACGTACGCGCCGGCGCAACGGTATACGGCGAGAGTGACAGAAGCCTAGTGTGTGCGCACGCTGCTCGTGTGCGAGCATCTATACCTATCCATGTGTGTAGCTATACGGCAACAACAACAACAAAAAATTGACCGACCCGTCTATGCCTAGAGGTGTTTGTAGCTCGCGAGTTTGTTTTTCAGTTTATACCTGTGCACTTGTCGATTGAATCAAAGTGATTTTAAACTATTAGTTCGTCGTTTTTTTTTCTTATTCATTCTGTTTTGATTGGAAAAATCTGTAAACCAAAATGATTAAATGGCAAACCTTTTGTGAAAAGATGTTTCGCGAGAAAGATTAGCATTTATCATAGTTCGTAGGATGATTCATATCAAGACCTGCGACGCAGCGATAATCTCGAAATGTAAGTCGATGACAGATGAGTATCGTCGATTATCATACTTGCTCGATATTCGCTCTTGTGCATATACGGGATAAGGCTCTGCACACTTGATCAAGGTGAAATAGGGTGAACAAAAATTACCCGCTGCCTATAGGTTGTTAAAAAGTCGTAATAACGGCTATTTAACGAGGGCAAACAATTAATTACGGGCAATGTGTTCGCTGGGTAAGCATAGAATCAATTTGCACAGAACAGAAGCTCTGGTTACTTATCTCGAATTTGAAAGTCAAGTATTTTATGTAGCCGCGAGTGTGCCGCGAGTATCGTTGTTAACTGTATTCGCGACGTCAAATATTTAGATGCTATAGCGTGAAAAAAATTCGCCGACCCCCTATTAAAGGTAATAGCAAATATTGTTACAGAGCTGATAAATGTTCATTCGGCGCGGTTTTGGCGATCGATGACACGAGCGAAATTTGACTTTTCGGATCGATTCCGTAATTAGAGAGGCAAGTTAAAAGTGCGAGCAGACGTTTATATAGGCATGGAGTGCAGAAGAGACTGTGTTGTTGCCGCGCTCGCGCGTGTATGTATGTGTGTGTGTGTGTGTGTGTGTGCGAGCAAGAGGCGTGAGAAAGGACAACACGCGCCGATCCTCGTGCGTCCGTGTGTTTGCAAGAGAGCCCGAGCGTGCGTTCATGTGTGTGCCGTTAATCGACGGCGTTTATTTCCCTGAAGAATATAATGGGCATAAAGTCGCTTTTAACGTCGCTCTGCTCGTGCGTTAATAGTGACGAATAAGAACGACGCGCTTATAGGATTAAGCGAGGAGACGACGAGTATCTGTGGGCGCTTTTGTAGCCTTGGTGCATCCTTGGCTCGTGTGTTTGAGAAAGAGAGCGAATAGAAACACAGGCAACAAATCGCCGACTAATTATCGTCGACGCAGCACCTGACTCTCGATGAATGAAAAGTATTGATCGAGCTTCCTCGCTCGCTACTTACGGATATGTGTCTTGGCAGACGCGCGCCGATTAATATTCTCATCGAGGCGCGCGTTGCGTGGCGCTGCTTCAAAGGCGCCTGTCCGAAAGCTATTGTAAATCCAGGCACAATTACTTAGGTTGTACGCGAGTCGAACCGTTACGTATTTGCAGCTCATTCGACACAAGTTATTTATACTCGCGCGACGATTCCCCAACATTGAAATATCATTTTTCTGCGCGCGGGACATAACATTCGAGTATTACGCAAGGCCTTTAACCGGGGCACGTATTATTGAGGCGCTTTTGTAGCTTGGTCATTCGATCGGTATCGACGATAACGGTATTATTCTGCGAAATATAAATTTTCTTCCTCGCGCGCTCACAATTTTGGGTAGTAAAAAAAATTGCTCCTCATAATATAGAATTGTGCGAGCGGCAGTCCGTGCAGCCAAGTGCTCCGCTGGAGGTCCCCCGGGCGACGCGCTCCAATTTTTGTTTCGCCGCGCTACTATATACACCGGCGCAGTTGCGTCGAGAGCGCGTAAAATTAAACTAGAAGCTGCCCCCAGCTTGCGGGCGAACGTGACTCGCGTATACGAGCTCGCACAAAAAATCGGAATCGAGCTGCCGCTGTTGCGCTCACGCGTGCGGCAAATAAGATGCTAATCCTTTATCTTTCGTTGTACTCTGCAAGAGAGAGAGAGAAAGAGAGAGAGAAAGAGAGAGCAGGAGAGGGAGAGGAAAGTTTTGATTCGTAAACGCGTATCGGACAGCGATCGTACACCTGCTGTATAACTTAATTGGCACACGACGAAAGAAAGACGACGAGGACGGAGAAGCGAAAAGGTTCGCACTGAAATCCGGCGTGTACATGCGCGTGTAATGAAGCCGCGCGCGCACGTCACAATCTCGTTTCTGCAATCTTTCTCTCTCTCTCACTCTCTTTGCCGATGCGAAAACGAGCCGCCGCCAAAGTCGAACGTCTCTTTCGCTCTTTCTCTCTCTCTCTTCTCCTCTTGCTTGCACCGCCGAGTACGAAATTCCACGATTGAAATCGAGCAAAATTTTTACTCCGTGGCCCGCTCGAAGATGAGTATTGGCGATATGTACAATATTATATAGGTATATGTAGCGGAGCGCGAGGCAACTCGTGTAAAAGGTTGCATAAGCATCATTGAATGAAAATGGATACGTACGCGTGTAAT